GGTGGAGGTGGGATATCTACCACGTGTAAAATCAGAAGAGATGTGGAGAGGGGGATTGATCCCTCTCCCTTGCAGTATAAGGCCAGGGAACACTACATGAAACAGCAGTGGGTCAGAGTGAGATACTTTGGCAATCAGGTTTAGTTGTGGAATTTGTGAGGTGCTACGGTCGCTGAAAATGTCGATACCCAAGAAGGTTTGATGGAAAAAATATCCAACAAGATTAATCTCTGTGCAAGATAGCACTCTTGGCTCACGAAACCTGAATTGCTGGAGGCTGAAAACAAATCTGGAGCAGTGTTCTTAGCTATTGCTTACCCTGTTTGTACCTTCTGTCTGGCATCTCCTTTCCTGGCCAGCGCTGGAGACAGGACACTGCAGCGTTAATTTGAGCTTTTCCTTTGATGATACAGAACTTTGAGATGTGCCACTGGGCAGGTTTGTGGCATTCACTCAGTTTGGGGGGGGAGGGAATACAAATTATAGGGCATTTAATTTCAAAATGCATTTTGAAATGAAGAAGAGCTGAAAGGTTCTAAGTGAAAAAGCATCAATAAGTGTAGTAGGCTCTTCATTCACTCTGTCTATCTGCAGTTTTCATCCCCTACTGTCAAAGCAACGTGATCAGCAGAGATAAATTCATTTTATTTTCCATATGGCTGAGATATTTCTTGAGCTCATTTTGGACAAATGTGGCAAAATTTGCTGCTAAGTCTGTCCTGTGGTTCTAAAATAGCCCAAAAGAAGAGTGTTTGCTTTGATGGTGAGAATGAAATAGTGGATCTTTCTCAAGGTGTTGGTCTCGGAGCATCTTCTCCAGACACCTTCCTTTCTTCTCCATAAGTGAGCTTTCAAAACCTTGCCACGAAAGTATGAAAGATGGGGATGGAAAGGTGTAATAAAGCTGAGGCAGGGATTCAGTCCAGGCCTCTTCACTCGTGCTTTGTACATTCACAGAACCACAGTGGAGGATTAAAGTGATTCTTGCTGTTTCCTCACACAAGTGACTCTTCTTGCCTTTGTAGGGTGGGACAAAGTGCACAATAAACTGTTCAACAACGTCAAAGTGTTTATATTTGACACCACATTTCTGTGCATACACACACACGAGCCTGGCTCCAGCTGAATATGTTGAGTATCAGGATATACAGGATGTGATGTGGACTCTCACATTTCTGTTTCACGTTTAGACTAACACAGATTTGGTCGTGATACTGTTGCACAGCTTAATCCAAATACAGAGATTTGGTATGGTGACACTGCTTTTTAAACTGTGAAAATCTTGCTGTAGTATTTACTTTCTCAGGACCTGAGCAATTTACTCTGTGTGTAGGATGGCCATGAATGTCCCCCTGAACTTGTCCCACACCCCTGTGAGAGCTCCTCGCCCTCTGCATGAAGCAGTTCCTGCTCTGGAACAATTCTGGCATGGACACAGGGATACAACTGTGCATTTTTATTGCACCAGGACAGTTGTTTTTCCTCCTCACAGGAGAGCAAGTCCTGCTAACAGAGGGTGCTTTGTCCCCACAGAAGTTCCTCACGCAGCTGGGAGGAGTTGTGCTGCTCTGTGCTGTTCAGTCGTATTGTACAAAGCATTAAAGGTGAAATGATGATGAACTGGGATAAACTCACCCTGAGAAATGAATTTCAACACCAGAGTTCACAGCCTGCTCTGAAATGGATCTCCAAAAGCCAAATTTGTAGCTGTTCCTTTCTCGGGGCAGTACCAGCATCACAAAACTGGAATAAAAACACCAGGGGCAGCTTCACCAAACTTTGCTCTTTGTATAATTTCCTTCCTGAGGTCTTGCTGAATGAAACACTATTCACATATTCCTCTATTCCCACTGTTTTTCTGCTTGGCTTTCCAGGATGGAGCTTTGCTGTCCTTGCTGGGGTTTGGATTCAGTATCACTAACTGGGGGAAAGAGGGGAACAAAAGACACTGGTCTGATGATAATATTATTATTTCTCCTTTCTTGAAAAGCTGTCTGGGTGAATGAGCACAAAGTTTGCAGGATTCTCCTGAAATAATCTTGCTTGGGGTTGCTCCAGATTGACAGAAAAACGGAGAGGGAACACACCTCTGTAATGTGCCTCTCTTGAGAATATCCTGCTAGCAATGACATGCAGGAAATTTGCTGGGATTTTTCAATTCATAAATAATCTGCTGTTCATATTTTCAAGGGTGTGACTGCTACTTTCAGGGAAATTGAACAAGTAAGCTAAGAGTGGATGTTGTCAGGCAGCTGCAGCCCTGGGGTGCATAAAAGGGACGACTGAGTGCTTCGAGTTCATGTTGCTGATACTGAACAAGCTGAATTTCAGCTGCAGAATCCATTTAATAATGATAATGATAATAATAATAATAGTTGTTGTTATTATTATATTGGTGGCGGTGTTATTATTATTCTTTTCCTATTGGCTCGGTGTAAGACAATTCTCAGCAACCTCACCATCTTGTAGAATTACTTTTGGAGTGGATATATATTAAGAAACTAATTACTTTGAACCCCCCCCATCTAATAAAGGTGCCTGAGAGGAAAGAGTGGTTGTCACGCTGGTCATACACTGGCCTGCTGAGGGGCAGAACCTGCTGAACAGATGAAGGTACAGGAATGTCAAAAATACTCATCTGCAAACTGCTCACCACGTGAGATGTGACACCCTCAGCTGAGACCTGAGCACCACAGGAGATGTGATACCCCTACAGGCACACTGGGTGCTCTAGAAATAGGGACAAATAATATCCAACTATATAATATTTAAATATTCATTTGAAACCTGAGACGTGAGGCTTTGGTCTTCCTAAACCAATCCCTTGCTCCTCCCATCTTGTTAATGTATTTTTGATGGTTTATTTCTTTGTAAAAGAGCACGTAGGGAAATCTTGCAAGTTTTTACATTTCAGTGACACATTGTTGCCTTTTTTATTGAATATTCTTTGGTTGTGAGACCAGAGCAAAACAAATTCTGATTTTATTCATTATTATATCTACATACATCATAATTTCCCTTTTCTAGCCTTTGACATAAATAACAATCCTGATTCTTTTGATTATTGCTTTTCCCCGAACTTCTCAAATCCCCGGGGATGCAGAACACTTGTTTGCAGCCTGTTATTATCTGGAGCAATACAAGTCAGGTGCTGGGAAATGGCATCAGCCACACAAGTTTCAGACACAAGTTCTTGCTGAGCACTCCAAGAACTCTCAAAGTCACTTCTCACTTGATTTCCTTTATATTTAAATTAGGATCTGCCTCATGGCACTGCTTCAGCGTGTACAGATTTAATGTCACAGGAAAGGCTTGGCCATTTGTCTCCCCGTGGATGCACACCAGTGACACCAGTAGAGGCACTGGGGTATGGCCGTGTGTGCACCAACAGCCCACAGAGTTGGGGTTTGTCCCCTCCTCTCCTGTCACTTAATTGCTCTAAAAGCTCCACGTTCACACACTCCTACTAGAACCAAAATAAAGCGACCCAGCCTAACCCCTTCTAATTTAAACCACGAATTCTCTGTGTTCAACATTAAGGACCGGTAACTTCGCTCCTCCATTTTCTCGCCCACTTTTGAATTTCTGAAGGATGAACGTTCCCGGTGCACACTCCAAAACATTTGTCTTCCATGGTTGAGTTACAGACCTTTAAAAATAGGCTTGCAATGGAAACGCTGACATGCCAGCTGGCTGCTGCTGCAGTGACACATTCACAATAGGCAACTCTTCAGCAGGCTCAGCGATCAGGAACTGGGGTTTGGGGGGCTTTGTGGGACTGGTCGCTGGGATTTAATCATGGACTAGAGCAGCACAGCATCTTACACTTGTCTGTACAGTGGCTGACTTCTGAGCCAAAAAAAAAAATCAGCATGGCAAAGCTTTCTGGGCTATGGGGTGCACCAGCTTGTTCCCTCACTCCTGCTCATTTCATCAAAATTATCTGGCAATTAAGAACGGTTTGAGTCTTCCTTTTCCAGCTCTATCTAAAGGGCAGGGCTTATTAATAAGTCGTGCGGAGTGCTTAAATAAAAACTCGGTGTCATCGAGGCAGCCTTCTCTCCTTGAAAATGTATTTTCCGACAGCCTCATCTCGCGTTTTCCAGCTCCTAAAGATCGAACGGGGAAGGAAGGGGAAATATGATTTTTCTTTTTCATCCGTGGTGGTTTTTCCTGCCCCCCCATCCCCCTCGGGTTTTGGGAACGCTGTTGTTTTGTCCCCGAGCACACGCTTGGAGACAAAGGAGCCCGTGCCCGCCGTGTCCGTAACCAGGGGGAAGCTGCTCCACGCGGCTCCCCCGCGCTCCGACCCGACACCTCGACATTCCGAAAAACAAAATCAAACTAAACTTTCGTGGTGTTTTTATATTTTTTTTTGTTTATTATTTTTTTTTTAAATTTTCCTTCCCTTCTGTCAGTTCTCCGGGAGAGCCTTCCCTCCCTCCCTCCCTCCCTGCTCACCGGGGTCCTCCCCGTGTGTCGGCACCGTCCCCTCAGCCCCGATCGCCCTCACTCCGTGTCGCCCCACCCCAATCCCCTCCCCCCAATTCCCTGATCCCTGCCCCTTCACCCGTCCCCCCTCGACCCCTGTTCCCTCATCCCTGTCCCACTCATCCCGTCCCTCTCTCCCAGTCCCCTCATCCCAATCCCACTCACCCAATCCTTTCACCCCACTCCCTCACTCCCCTCACCTCCTGTGCACCCCAATCCCCTCATTCTCACTCCCTCACCCCTTATCCCTCATTCCCACTCTCCTCACCCCGTCTCTTCTCTCCGTCCTTGTCTCCCCATCCCCAAAATCCCCCATTCCCACACTCCCCCCATCCCCTCTCCCCTCGGCCCCTCCCTCCCGCCGCACCGGTGACGTCACCGCCCGCCTCCCCCGCGCCCATGCAGGGGATTCTCTCCGTCCCGCCCTGACGTCACCGCGGGGCCGCGCAGGCCCCGCCCCCGCGGGCCGCCATGTTGGGGGCGTGCGCGGAGCAGCGCAGCGCGGCGCCGCCCCCGCCGGCCGGCAGCGCCCGAGCCGCGCCGGGCCCGCTGCGCCGGGACATGGTGCCGAGCGCGCCGCCCGACGAGCCGCAGCCCTGCCGCAGGATGGAGCTCTGCGTGAGCGCCGCCGAGGTCAGTGCGGCCCGGGTGGCGGCGGTGGTGGGGAGGAAGCGGGGACGCGCCGGGCCGGCCCCGCGCCCCGCCCGCACCTGCGGCCGGCCCGGCCTGCCCTGCCCCGGCCGAGCGGGGCTCCGCGGGCGAGCCGCGCTGCCCCTCGCACCGCCCGCCCTTCCCCGGGACACCCCCCTAACCCCGGCCCTCCGCGCTGCCCCGGCCCGGCCCCGCTCGGCCCTCCCGCGCCGCCCGCCCCGGACCGGGCTGAGCCGCCCCCCAGCCCCGGGCGGCGGCCCCGGGCCCGGCGCTGCCCCGGGCGGGCGGGCACACGTGCGGAGGTAGCGGGACTCGGCCCGGGGAGGCCGGGGCTTTGTGTCGCCTCCCCCGGGTCACAGGTGTCCGGCCCCGCTCCGCGCGAACTCGCTCCGGGGGCCGAGCAAAGTTACTTTAAGTTCCGCTGAATATTTGCGCGTGTTGTTGTGGCTGCGCGGCCAGGTGGGTTGTCGCCGGAGAGATCCCTTTGCCTTCTCCGTGGATAACTATACGTTAATTATCACGCACGCATTCTCTCAGCGGGGAGAACCAGGAGCGCCTGAGTGAGCTTTGGATGCTTAAACGCTGAGTAACTAACTATACATTAATTATCACACACGCAGCGGGGAGAACCAGGAGTGCCTGACTGAGGTACAGGAGTGCCTGAGTGAGCTTTGGATGCTTAAACGCTGAATAACTAACCGTGCTTTAGTTATCACACACACAACGAGCGGAGAGAGCCAGGAGTGCCTGACTGAGCTTGGGATGCTTAAACGTTTTTAAAAACCGGGGGAACATCTCCTAGGTATTGCTTAGCACTCGGGCTGCTTCCATCAGCAAGCACCAGACGCTGTTTAAAAGGAAATAAAAAGGTAAAGCTGGTTGTGTTGCAACGATCTCTGGTGCCTCAGCAGAACGTGGTGCTCGGGTATGAAAACTCTTGCACTTTGAAATCAGAAGCGTGGGATTGCGTATCGAGTATCGTCAGGTATGACAAATAAAAGATTACACCGAGGTCTGTTAGACACACAAAAGATGTTATCTAAATAAAGCTGCTTCAAACTGGTCGGACTTGCTTTCTGGGATGCAGCAGACCTCTCTTATTGGAAGTAAAAAGGTCTGTGGCAAAATCACATCTAAGTACAAAGTGTGCAAAACAGGCATAAGGGAAAGTTTTGGGAAGAGTGAAAGGATGTCCGATTGAATTTTTATGCTCTGATAAAAATGCATACATAAAAAGGGAAAAAAACCCAAATTTCTTGGTGTCTTTAATATTTGGGGTTGTTTAGTACCACTTCCAAGTATTGTAATTACTGGACATGCATTTTTACACCAGGCTGCTACACTCTAATACTTTAAAATATTCTAATGATTTAATAGCACTTTGATGCAGTGCCTGTACCTTAATATTAGAGAAATCCTAATTATGTTAGTGAAGCTACAGGATTAGAAAGTCAACTGAAGTATTAAGGCTTATTTATTCATCTTATGGTTTGTAAAAACAGTGTGTTGTAGTTGAGGTATGAAACTCAGTGAAAGTCTGAGAACTCTCTTGGTCCTGTTGATCTGTTCTTCAGGAATATTGTTGTTGTTGTCAACAATACTTGTTGTCATAACCGTTTCCAGAAGTGCATCTCAGGGATGTGCTGTGCTTTTCACTTGTTGGATTTTCACTTTCACGTGGTTTGGGGACGTAGCAAGGCGTGTTTTATGTTAAAATGGATTTTGGGTTGGAGTTTCACTTTTAATTTTAGAGAATTAACTGTAGCCCATAGTCCTTGGATGAGCAGAGAGGTCTTGGGGACCTGGGCCTTGCTGGAACTGCCGTCAACAGAGTCACTGTGAAATAGGTTTTTGTTTTGAAGATTAACTTGTGCTTCCTGGTGTTCATCTGCTGTGGAATAGGAAAAACCTGAGGAGTCTGCTTGTTGACAAAATTCAGGATTATTAGCACTAAGTGCATTTCCAGTAGCACTTGTGTTGATTTGAGTAAATGCAGTTGGCGAGGGAGGGATGTGATCTTGAAGCACCAACATTTGTTTCTTCCCTTCAACTTACAATAACAACGTGAACTTTTGGGAGAAATTACTGATATTTAGGATTGGATTATTCTGCCCTTTTTTTGGGAGAGTCTTTGAAGTGCTGAGGGGTTTTGGGCTGAGCACTGTGCTGTTCTTGGCTGTCCTTACATTCCTGTGACTGTCGCTTGTGGAGCAGTTTTGGGACTCTGGGAATTCCCTAAGCCCAGGTAGGAAGAGCTGGTGTTGTGCTGTTGAAGCATCAAACATCCAGCGAGCTTCTTTCCTCCTGAATATTGGATTAATAAGCGTTTTCCTGGTAATAAAAATAGGCGTGAGGGTGTTGATGATAATCAGCTGTTGCAGATTATTAAAATGTGATCACAGTCTACAAAGAAACAGGAAAATAATTGTTCACATTTTATTGACGAGCTGAGCGAAGTGCAGAAATAGTTGGAATTGGGCAGAATATGATAATTTGGGAATTTTCTGCCCACTGGACAGGGAGGATTGCATTTAACAGGACTGTGTAGTTGACGTAAGCACATGCTGTGTGCAGTCCAGGAATACTGGGAATTGCATAAATGCAGCCTCACACTCAAATACTTACTTTTGCAAGAGATACCTCAGGAACCAGTTGCTTAATTGCCTGATTGTGACAGGGAGGACAAGGCTGAAACAGCAAAGTGGCAGAAAACTCAAGTATTGTGCTGGAAAACTGGGCTGCATTGGAAGTTGGTGCTCTCCCAAAGGCACGCTCGGGAGCTGAGCTCTGCTGCTGCTGTGCAGGAGCTGCTGCCCATGCCAGCTTCAATAAACACAGCTCTGATTTGGGGCAGTGTGTGCAGTGCATCCTCTGGAGCATGTTGGGAGCCTGCTCTGTCAGAGGCCACTGAATTTTGTCAGTGCTGGGGGTTGCATAACTCCTTTGTGAGTAATTACTGGCAGTGACGTGGATGACTCAGCTACCTAGTTGTGCATCTCTGAAAATCTCCACAACCCCGTGGTGTTACCTTAAAGGAAAGAAAGTAAAAGTACTGCCCCTAATTTGAATTAAGTGCCCTTGGCCACTGCAACAATTTTAGAAAGACTTTTCAGAACAAGTTGCCTTTAAAAAAAAAAAAAAAAATATGCACATTAATGCTCTTAAAGGGAAAACAATGAGTGTCTTTATGCATTGAAAAGTGCTGCAATGCAATAATAATGATTTTCTGGTTTGGAATACCACTTTTAAAGATAATTTTGGAAATGTGCTGTGATATTCTGGGCTCTAAAAGGAGCCAGTGGGCTGTTGCAGGTGGCTCACCTTGCTTCCTGCAGGAGACCTTTGGAGAGACTTCCCAATAACCCTAAAGCCAAGGAATGATGTGATTTGTTAACCCATGATATATAAAATTTTGGTATTTATGTAGATGTACTTCTTTGCTACATTAAGAATAAAATTCAAAGTATATTGTTTTCACCAAGTTTAAATCTTACCCTTTTCCAGAACTACCTGCCATCCATTAAACGTGATTTTGAGGCTGGCTGGTTTATGCCCTCTGATTCTGGAGTTACAATCATGAAGATCTCAAGTGCTTTAGTAATTCAGTGATCCCTGTGCTTGGGGTCAGGTTTGTGTCTTTGTCAGAGCTGGAACCAGTTTGAGGCACACGTCATTCTCCTATCTCAGAATGGGAAGGATCAAAATGTTCCCTTTAAGATCAGTAATTATATGTTGCTGAAGGTTTGGTGTCCTGGCTGAACGTATGATTTATTTGCCACAGGAAAAGAGCTTTACAACTTTCCCTCGTAATTGATTATGGGTTTCATTTTTTTTAACTTATTTTATTTTAAGGCAGATTGCTTGATCTTCCCCTTCCAGTCAGTGTGTTAAAAGAGTGTGTGAGAAAAGTGGAGAAGAGTTGAGGATGTTTCATAGGAAGATGATATGTCTTTAAGCTTCAGTTTTGTTCACATTGACTTTTAGATATTAAAAAAAAAAAAAAAAAATAGAACCCCTCACCTGTTTGGCTGTGCACAGAACCCCCAAATTCCTCAAAGCTGTCCCAGGAATGACTCAGTAGGCCAGTGTGTTGCTAATTAAATTAATGATTCAAACTCTATTAATGTAATTAAGAATAAATGAGGAACAAATGTAATTGTCCTAACAGAATTTTTGTTCAAAGGATTTGTTTTCAAAGTCTTTTTGAAATAATTGAGGTTTCCAATGTAAGCTTCCACTGGAATATTTTGAAATAAGTATTTGAGGTGGCACTTCTGTCTGTGGGGAAGGGAACTGGTTAGTCCTGTGCTCATTTGGGAGAATTAGGGTGCAGGTCTGGTGGCCCTGCAGTGACTTCCCAAATGGAAGGAGGAACTGTGGAAGAATCAGGAGCTTTTGGTGATCCTTAGGTAGAATTTTACCTGTTTGAAGCCACCAAGATTTTATGTGAGTGGAATGTGCTTTCCACTTCTAATAATAGTGTGATGATAAAATTCCCAGTTCTGCTTTTTCTAGAGAATGTTTAATTCTTTTGAATGCCTAAATGAAGACCTGTAGAAACAGGGCAGGATGAACCGGCTTTCCACCTCCTGCTTTTCCTTGTGGTTTGGCATTTTTGCTGACCTTTGGCTTCTTTCAACCCAGCCCTCCAGACCCACCGAACCATAACACATTTACCACCTAAGTGGCCAAAACATCCTTAATATGGGGGGGGGGAAAGAGGGTTCAAATCTTTGGTGACACTGGGATTCCTCTGTAATTAGCAGAGGGAAAACATGTGCAATAGCAGCTAAGCCTTTTAGCAGCCCACAAAGCCCTTTGGATGTTCTCCCAAGGGAATGGGGTCTGGTCCTGGCCAGTCGTGGGATCCAGGGCAGCTGTTTAAATCAGGAGCAGCTGGGACTCAGCATTGGCTCCCCTGGACCTGCACCCCTGCAAAAGTAAGTGCCTACCTGCCAGGTGGGTCCCACCTAAACTTGGAGCTCATCTATTGACATGGTTTCTTTTGTTACTTTATACCAATCAACAGTGTGAAGCACTTTCTGTAATTTCCTACATTTGTAGGTAGATTGTCACTGTTTGCTGAATGTCTTGAGTTTCAGGTTGTGTTCTCCTGGAAGTTAATATTTAAAATGTTCAGTTGGTTGTAGGACTCTCACAGCACTGAGCAGCAAAATGATTCGAGGATGAAGGAATCTCTTTAGAATCATAGCATGGCTTCTTTAACTGTTCTCTTTATAGAGATTTGTGCTTTTTAATGATAATTTAAATTTCTGCATTCATAGATATTTAGTAACATAAGATACAAGTAATTACTTAGAGGTGAAAATAGTCATGCTCTACATATGTTTGTGCATAAATATTCATGATTAAATCACTTTGATTGAGGAAGCTGAATTTTGTCTCTGCCTTCCACAGAGGTGGGAAATAATTATTAGTTATCACTTTTTTGCCTATTGAGGGGGACAGTGGAAACTTGGCCAGTATAAGTAGTTGAGCAGTAAAGATTTAATTTTTGCCATTGACTTTTCTAACTGAATGACTCAAACTACTTGAGTTCCAACAGATTTGTTATGTTTTGTTTCCTGTTTTGTTTGTTGGTTTGGTTTTTTTTTTTAAATGGACAGTGAGCAGGGTTCACAAAGAAATAAGGCAGAAGTGTAGTTGTTACATCAAGTAATAAAAGTAGCTTCATGCCCTTGAACATGAAATTCTCTGGACTCAAAGCTGGCAGGTGTCCCAGTCTGTATCGGAAGAGAGAGACTGGGCAGGAAAAAACAAACACAATCCAAGGAGCAGCAATGAAAGGGAAAAGTGTACAATAGGAAATTGTTAATTAAGATGATTACTTGCCATAAAAATCCAGTAACTTAGTGTATTTGATTTGTCAGCAGGTTGAAAGTATGATTAGATGGTGCGCTCAGGGACAAAATAGATCAAATAACACGCTGGTTTTGGGTTCAAAACCCCAGTTTTTGTGGCTGATTGCCTGGAGTTAAGTGCTGTTTTCAGTCTATCTACAGTTCTTCTGGCTGGAAGTGTTGGTTCCAGAGCTTAAATTTAACAAAGCTTGGAAAATGTGGACCATAAAGAAAGAAAAGGTGAAATGTGCACTCAATTTACTTCTAATTTAACTCCATGAATGAAGAATGTAATTACATTTCTGAGCATCTGGAGTGGAAATCCCTTTTATTACTAGGTCCAAATAAGCTTCTTGGGCAATTTTGGTGGGTGTCACATTAATTCACACTTAAGTGTTATCTCATGACACTGTGCAAGGAAATGACATGGCATCATCTCAAGTGAGGTTGGAGGTCAGAGCTGGGCTGAGATTTGGTGTTATTTCATGGTGTATCGAGTTAATTCACACAGTAACAAGCTTAGTGGGTGTCTCACCCCTCCCAGCATCTAATTTGGAAAAAAATATTTGGGCAAAAAAAAGAAACAAATGATGTAAATTCGTAGCATTGGGTTCTCAGTTCAGGGTAATGAGTGAGTGATTTGAGGCTTTTAGAAACAAGGGGGTGATACAGGAGAGCTGGATGGTGAACATGGGTTGGTTAAACTGAGTTCATGTGAGGAGAGTGTGTATAAACTGGAGTTCTAATAAACAGAAACTTGAAGAGTGAAAACAAATGAAGCCTCTGCTATTTCTTTAATTTTTTAAAGTGAGGATATAATCCAAAAACAAGTGCCAGCATCTTGATGCAAAAAGCGGCGATTTAATTTTATCAAAATCGTGAATTTGTGAATTAGCTTTTAAAAGCTCCAGTTGAAACCAGGAGTGTGTAGCAGCAGTGGAAGTGGTTGAGGTTTGCTGAGGTGGTACCAACCTGCCTCTCCAGCCCTTCCTGTTCATCCACATTCAGGGTTTGGTTTAAACAAGGGGCACGGTCTGGGTGGCATTTCCAGAGTCTCTGTAGTCCTGGGTTTTACCAATTCCCAGATTTTGGTATCTTAGGCAGGGATTTGAGATAAATTCAGAAGTACAACAACAACAGTCATTACCCAGTCTGAGAACTAATTGGTTCAACTTCTTATTTCAGGAAAAATATAGTTTGAGTTTCCTCCTGTTATTTCTGGTATTTTGGGGTGAGATCTGTGCCCCGTAAAGGTAGTGATGCTGAACCATTCACATATAAATTAGCAGTTTTTACTAGCAAAATCCACAATGGGATTTACCTATTTTTGTCAGGTATTTCCAGTTTTTAATTAATGCTTTGCATGTCTGAGCAGAGCATGTCCTTCATATTTCTGGGGTTTGGTATTTTGTTAAAGTTTCACCATTGAATTGTTTGTAACTTAGGCAGAGCTTTAACTTTTAAACTTGTTGCAACTCTGGACTTGGTATTTTCAAAAAGACTCGAAATTACTTGTGAATCTTTTCTCTTCAAACTGCAAATTAATTTTCACCATCAAATTTTAGCGTTTTAGGTCTCTGAAAAGCACCTGTACACAATTTTTTTGCATAGCAGGGGGATTTTGTATGAGTGTCCTCTTGTATGGATGGTGATCATAGCTTTTAGAAGGAATTTTAAACTAATTCCAATTAAATAACACTGGCATAATAATAATGATGGCATTTACAAAGGGATCTGCTAAATGATACATAAGGGAGATGCTAAATATAACTACTGAGTAGTAGTGTTTGTTTGAAACTACAGTTTTAAATTAGAGCAACGAGAACACGAGTTTTCACTTGTGTGCTCTGAAATGTAAATTGGTCAAATGAGGAACTTTGTTAATTTGGAATTGTTGTGGTTTAATGTTGTTTTTTTCTTTCTTTTTTTTTTTTCCCCCTCCTTCCCCTCTCCAGCTAAATGGCCTTAAAATGGCAGATGAGCCCATGGAGGAAGGTGAACCATATTCCTACCACGTAAGTGTGCTTGGTGTCTGTTCACTGCAGACACTCAGTAGCGTGACTTGCTTTGGAAGTAAAATTTATGCATTCCCTGCTCTCTAATAACTTCTGAACCCATCATTTTATTTGACCAAGATCTGAAGAGACTCTTCAGTCTCCAAGATGAATTTGGAAATTAGTACCCGGGTAGAGGCTGTAAGTGACTCGTTTGGGAGCATCTGCTGCATGAGGCAGAGCTTTATGGACAGATTCCGTGAGCTGGAGAGAGCATTTGCTGATCCTCAACCTCGGAAAATGCTCAGGCCACCCTTGAACCTTTTTATACACGTGCTTAATGTTGCTCTTACTACACTGTCATCTGCTCTTCCTTTGTGTTTTTAATACATTCAGAACTCCAAGGTACTTAATTCCTGCTGGTTTAGAACAGAATTGATTTTTACACCACTATGGTAATTTTGCTTTTATGTAGGAATATCCCAGATAAATCCTATTGAGCATGGTTTTTGTGCAGTGCCTGGGTGATGTGTGTATTTGGGAGATGCTGAAGGTGAGTGCTGTGTGTGCTGGCCAAACCTGGCACTGAACTTCAGGCTAATCCTGTGTGTGGTGAAACAACCGACTTTGCATGGAAAAATTGGACATCGCTTGTCAACACAGCCATCCTTGTGTTTTTGATCAGGGTCATAAAGAGGGTGTCAGGTATCTCTTGCCCAGAGAGGTGATGGACTCCCCATCCCTGGAAGAGTCCAAGGCCAGGTTGGACGGGACTTGGAGCTTCCACCTGGAATAGTGGAAGGTGTCGCTGCCCATGGCAGGGGCTGGGACTGGATGGGCTTTAAGGTCCCTTCCCACCCCAAACCAGCCTGGGATTATTTAAGTAAATCTTATTGCCAGCTGTAACCACTGCCTTGTGTTGCACCACCTTTTGTAAGTAAGGGATTTGGAGGATAAACTCTTGGGGATAGAACCATGTGGGGGCCTGACCATTTCCTGGTGTGGAGCAGTAAATAAACAGTGTCAGAGCTGCCTCACATGGAGCAAGGTGAGCTGAGCAGTGGGTTGTCTTGCTTTTCTGTCTTTCACTGTTCTTGAACCAGGAGGAGGATGTTGCTGAGCTTGTTTGTCAGGTGCTGGAGCCACATCCCAGAGAGGCTGTAACAAGTCAGGTGGCACGAAGCCACCCAGCGTTCCTTTGAGCACTTTGGCTCCCGGGGAACCTGCTGGGGAGAGTTCCCTCTGGTGCAAGGCTGGGTGGGAGCTGCTACCTCAGCTCAGAAATAATCTGCTGCTCGAGCAGCAGAGCATGGAATCAGATAACCAAATCTGCAATGTGTGGAGGCCAGACTAGAAATGAAAATGAAACTGGCTGGTGGCTGTTCAGCTCTTTATCTGCTCGGCTCTTGTCGAGGTGTCTTTACACTTCAGTCATGCCAGTTTTTAGTACCTTAATGATAGTTAAGTAGGTGAAATTACACAGACATCTTTTGTGAAGGTGAAACACTTTTTATAAGAAAATAACTCATTTCATCCATCTCAAGTTAGTCTTTATTTGCATAGAAAACATTTTTCTCCCGAGTTCACATTCAGAAATACTCTCAGTCTCCGCAGCAACCACGTGTGATGTCACAGGCTAATGACTCGAGGTGGGTGATAAACACGGGAGAGGGTGAACTCTTAAAGATCTTTTCTCATGCAAAGGTTCCCAGTGTTTAGGAATACAAATTAGGATGGTGAAGAAAAAAGGCTTCTAAATAGAGTATTTACATAGTTCTTAGGAAGAACCAGCCATTAAGTCTGTTGTACAACTTGGTGTATAATTAGACAACTTGCTGCTTTCATCAGATGACTTGAATTGCTGCCATTCTTACCTGCCTTAAATTAGGCAGTGTTTAAAAAAAATAGATGAAAATGAACAGATAGGTGCATCTTTGCTCTGAGTACATATTTGCATAGTCACCAAGATGGATGGAGGAGATGAAGGTGGGACATTTGCACTGGATCTTCAGCTGGGTGTTGTGACCTGAGAGGGAAATAAAGTAGTTTGGAGTGTGACTTACAGAATGAACATTGTTTCCAGCAGTGCCTTGTGTTCAAACCTGCCTTTGTGTGGGAAGCAGGTGGAACAAACAGGCCTTTCCCTGAAAGAGGGTGAAATAAGAGATAGAGGGGAGGGGAAGGACTCTGTGCAGTAACAACTGGACTACACTCTGTGAATACACTGAGATGTGTGTTTGAACTCCTTCTTTCCCCCTCTGGACAAACAAAGCAATTAAGGCAGAGGCAGTTAATGCAGTGTGATGATTGCCTCTTTTTTCCCCTTTAATTATTGCAGTAAGGATGTATGAATGTAGATGATCTGATTTCTAGACTGAATTTCTGTGTAAACCCACTTAGAGAATTTCATCCAGAGGCTTCTGTATCAAGCCTGATAAAGTTGATTATAAGTTTTAATGCACAGTCTTGGACAAGCAAGACCTTCTGTAGTCAACCTGAGTATAGAAACGTTACATAGAATGAATACAGAATGATGTTCTTTCTGAAAAGCAAGTGTTTCATTAAGTGGTCAGGCCTTTCTCTCGTGCTGTTTGCACTGCTCATCCAGGGACAGTAACACCCAGGAGGTTGGTTGGGTGTTTCTCTGGTCTCTGCTAAGAGAAGCTGTCAAGATGAGGACCTTAAAGAGAGTTTAGGAGACAACTAATAACAATTTGGATGCCCCAGAGGTGAAGTACTGCAAATCAGGTGGGAGTTTTCTTGTGATTGGGTTGTGTACAAGAAATTTGTTGATATTCTATATAGGGCTGAGAGTTGCTGTTCCTTCTCTGTGCAAGCTGGGGTGGCTGTTGGAGGTCTTAGCACGTAACTTTTTAACTCCAAGGGTGTTTATTTCGCCATCTCACTCGTTTTGGCTCCCAGCAGCTTCTCTTACACCATAAAAGCTGCAATACATCATCAGAGTTGTTTTCATCAGGAATGTTTGTCTTTTCACAACTACTTTGCTCAAGATGAGAGGGACATGGAAAAGTCAACAGAACATTAAATCACTCAGCTACCTCTGAATTACCCTCCTGAAGGAGGTCTCCACACAGGATAATCTTCCCAGGAGCTCTGCACCCAGAGCTGTTTCTTCTCTTGGGTGCAAGAATTCTCAGAGTCCTTCAGATGACTCACATCTTATTTCTGGTCTTCAAACGACGTGTGTTCCTCAAGCTCCAAATGGATGGCCAGAGTTATTATTTGCTGCTGTGAAAAGCAATAATTACCCTAAATGATGAAATTCAATTTGGCTTTCATTAAGACTTATTTCAGGAAAGGGAAAGATGAGAAGAGTAATCACTGGGAAAAGTAAGGGCTGCTAAAGAGAAGTGAAGCACAGAAGTCTTGGTTAAAAAAATCTGTACGTTTATCCCTTTCATGTAAAAAAAAAAAAAAGGCATTTTTGCTGTAGCCAAAGTATTTCTGGCAAAAGGAAATTCAGTTTAGAAATTGTAGATGCATCTATTTAAGAAAGGATGGATGGGAAAACTTTTCATTCGAACAGTTTTCTTTTATGCCTTGTTAGAATGTCAAATCTTTTTATTAAGGTAAAACCAAACCAAGAAAAAAACCCGAGTATTTACATGCTCTTCTAGCAGGAGTTGGTTAATTCAGGCCTGTTCACTGTTGTGTTTTGTTTGCTTTGAAACAACAGGATGAAGGAAGCGTGAAAGAAATTCCTATCACACACCACGTGAAAGAAGGATGTGAGAAAGCAGACCCAGCACAGTTTGAACTCCTTAAAGTTCTTGGACAGGGATCATTTGGAAAGGTAAGATGATAAAATAACCTGGGAAACATATTTTAGGTTTTTCATTTTGCTGTCTCTGTCAAGTGATCTGCAGCTTAAAGACACTAAGTGAACAATTATTGAAATAGCACGGAGAAGAAATGCGGCAGCTTTGTTACAACAGTTTCTTTTTGTGATGTGCCACTTGGTGTCACGTTGCAGAAATGAAATCTAATATCTCAGTCAACTAGAGAAACAATAGGAGTTGAAATAGTAATCCAAGTGGAGAAAGTGGTAATTTATTTTTTGAAACCTGACTCAAACTAGATCTTCTGCAGCACATACAGAGTAGTCAGTCAGCTTTACACACGTTTCCATTTTCCTCTTCTTCTGCTGGTTCCATGTGTTTAAGCAGGAACAAACCTCTGCATAGGATTGAATGAGAGAGGAAAAAACCTGACATTAGGAAGGCATTCTCTGAATAAGTGATAGTGTAGGGAAAAGACTTCTAAATATTTCTGAATGTTTTACAGCTCCAGAAACATTTCTCTGTCTGGTAATGTTGGTTGCCAGTTCCCTCCTACACTTCTCACTGTCAGAGCCTGAAGGGCCCCAGATCTTTATGACTCCTGAGCTGAGGTGTCCTGAGCTGTCTTAGGGTTTAGCACATCTGAGCCCAGACTCAGCCAGATTTTCCTTCCCAGAGTTCAGGCTTTTGAAACCTGGCAGGTTCAGGAACCAGCTTTAGGAGCTGGGTGGTGCCTGAACAGAGATCTTTTTTATCTCTGTTGCTTTCTGCTGAAAGAGAAAACAAACAGGGAAGATCAGTGGCTGTTGCCTTCACAGTGTTTTGTTTTCTCTTTCCACTTTCTGCTTCCCAGGGACCTTCCTTTGGGGCTGGCAAACACAAAGCTGGTTTGCTGGAGCTTGTTTTTGACATCAGGGCAGGATTTAACACTTCCACAGAAACAAAGGGTTAAATTTATCCATCACTAAGTTTCTGTCTTGGGTAACTTTCCAAGGTAGATGTGGGGTTATGGAGACTGCAAATTAAATAACGAGGTGGTGCTTCAGCTGTTTTGGGCCTTACCAGCTTCAATCTGTAACCTATACATGAAGTCCTTACATCCTCACAAGCTGCTAGTTATTAAGCACTAAAATATTTGTATGTGCTTATTATTAATATTTATCTTCAGAATTGTGATTGTGTTCATCTACAGACATTTTTTTAGTTGCTGGTGTTCAAATTATTCCCTCTATTTCAGCATCAGCATGAGCTCAGAGGAGAGCAGTGCTGTAGGTCAGTCACTGGGCAAAACATAAAACAAAAGGCCTGATAACCTTGAAACATGATGATTTTTTTTTTTCTAACCAGAGCTTAAAATAAAAACAACCCTCTCCCAACCTTGTCCAATTTAGTCAGTGTGTTTGATTTTTCTGATTCTAGAATGGAAAATTTGACAAGATTATGTGAAAAATACATATAATTTCTAGATAGTTAATAATTTTTAACAAAGTATATGTGTAAATAAATCCAATGTTAATGCAAGTCTGAATAAGGTGAGATCAGAGAGGCAGTTTTGGGGAGCTCTTGGCTCTCTTGTGACTTGTACATTGTTTTTTTACAGCAGAAACATTCCTCATAACTAATAATTGCTCTTATAAGAACAACAGTTTAGGAACAGAAGCACCTACCAAGCCATTTTGTAAATTGAAAAGCCCAGGAGTTTAAATATTAGTAGAGATTCATGTCTTTGGAATGTGTTATTTTATCTCATATTAGGCTTTTCTTAATGTCAAGTTATGTTCCATCTATCTTTAAAACTCTCCTGGAAAGAAAAGAGTGGATAAACCTGTTGGAGTTGCTATTCCAGAGGGAAAGGGTGCTTTGATCTTAAATGGTGAGGTTTCCTTGCTTTCATCTCACCACTTGTACAGAATTCATTAATAAAACCTGTTCCATGCTGGAGACTTCGGGTCTTAAACCACAGAAAAATCTCTTGGGACGTGGCAGAGGAGCCAGAATTGTCCTTGTCCAAGAAAGTGACAGAAAGAAACAAATTTCTGTAAATAATTATTTGGTAAATAAGGAAAGAATCCATAGTTTCTGACCCCTGTGATAATTCAGAGAGCTTGGTGCTGCTGCAGCTCTAATCTGATTAAGGAAATGCAGTTCTGCTCTTCCTTGAAGGTGTGTGCTCAGGAAAGAACACTGAAAAGTGCCTGAAATTAATAGGGGCTTTGCAGATGCTTTGTGAGAGTTGATATTTGATTACTCAGCTTGCAGTAATTTAAAAAAATGGGCTTTATCTTGCCAGGTCTTCCTTGTGAGGAAGATAATTGGTCCTGATGCTGGGCAGCTTTATGCAATGAAAGTATTGAAAAAAGCTTCTTTAAAAGGTATGTGTGTGTCTGAATTGAAACTTGAAAACGTGGTGTACCTGCATTTTAAAAGGTTTTTTTAATGTGAAATATTTGTCAGTGAGTTTATAACAGCAGCTTTTTTTCCAGGCTGGCTTGTGAGTTCATGTTTGAGAATTATTTTAAACCTGACCAGGTAGCTTTAATTATGTGGTCAGAAATGCTCTTTGAAAGTATTAAATTGCATTATTTAATTCTGGTTAGGTTTGGTTGGTTTTTTTTTCATTATATGAAAACAAATTAATTTCATAAACAATTTTCCTTTTGTCTTTTGTTACGTTAAAACTTTGCTGTGGTTAAAATTAAGTCACTCCCTCTCGTTCTGGGATCCAGAGCCAGGAGCGTTTTGGCTTTCAGGAGACACTTTAAGGGGTGCAGGTCCACTGTGTGTAAATAGGGACTGTTAAGAGGAAAAACTGTAAGAAAAGTAAGAAAATATATATTCAGTACAGATAGTTAATTCAGAAGTTGATGTTGAAATCCAGATGGGAGCTTTTTTTCCTGGAAGTAATGTGGATTATCACCAAACACTGGGATGCACTGGGAAAATGATGGCAATAAGGAAGGAACACAATCGAGTTGTGAGTGTGTTTTGAGGGAGCCTTTAACATGAAAAAGAAACAAAGCACAAGGGAGGATCTTCCTTTGGAGCCTTTCCACGTGCCCATTTCTGCTCTGTCTGTCCTGTACCAAACCCGTTTGTTTCACTCTGGTCTCTTCTTTTCTTTTTGCCCCCAGTTCGGGATCGAGTTCGTACAAAAATGGAGAGGGATATTTTAGTAGAAGTAAATCATCCCTTCATCGTCAAGCTGCACTATGGTGGGTAGAGATATTTATTTTCCTTTTGCTGCACTTCCTTTCATTACTTGAAGGCAGGGCTGCTCTTTGGCATTTTTGTAAGGTCCAAGTTAGGTTCTAGTAACTTTAAATCACAGGGCTTAAAAGAAAAGGCATGTAAATACACACCTGTATAAAAGTTTTAGCTGAAGTTCTCCTGAAATTAAAGATTTGGAAAATACTTTCAAGTTCAGCAGAGATTTTTTTTTTTTTGGCTTTTCATTGAGTAAAATCGAACCAGAGTAATGAACATCCTTGCTGTTTCCCTGTTTGACAAAGGAGAAGTGAAGGAACAGTATTTTAATCATCTCTCATGACTAAGATTTTCTTCTGTGAAGAAGTGAGGAATCATTCAATAAATTACCTCATGTGCTGCTGAATTATTTCAGTTCCATAACAAAAGTATTGCCTTTGACTGAAATTTCCTGGTTGTAAATCATTCAGATCTATTTTGTGGATCAGCTTTGTCACACAACTATTGATTTTTTTATTGTCCTTTTTTTTTTTTTTTTTTTTTTAAGCCTTTCAGACTGAAGGGAAGCTCTATTTAATATTGGATTTTCTCAGGGGAGGAGATGTATTCACACGATTATCCAAAGAGGTAAGTACCTAAAATTTTATCTCCACTCACTCTTAGACAGAGGTTGTTTTTTCTCGGTATGGGATTGCCTTTTAAAGCTGATTCCCCCCCATATTTCTTGTCATGCTCAAGTTTTTATAACTTCCTTGGGCTTTTCCTTACATATTCTAGAATATATTCTGTCCTTAAGAAACCTGAGTGTGTATTGATTAGTAGCCTAAGTTTTAATTTGGTATCTGCAAAGTACAGTTCTTTTGTCTAAAAATGTTTTGTTGCTTGGAAACGTAACTGAAGTAAATGAATATTTAGCACTGAAGAAAGGGGATATTATAGCTCTCCTGCTCTTAGTCAGCTGAGGTGCTCCTGGAATCCTGCAGCCCTGGGAGATTTCTGCTGCATTGTAAAATTTCAGGGGGCTGGAATACAAATCCTAATCCTTAATCCCGCAAAATGGGAACATGGAGTGGTTTTAAACCCTCTCCCCCAAACCCTCACACACAACTGGACCTTGAATTCTTCATTTCTCTTTCTGTTTTCTGCAGAGAATCCTCAGAGGAGGGAATAGGATGCAGCCCGTTGTTATTTTTTTTAAACATTTGCCATCAAATATTTATCACACGTTACCTTGAGTGTTATGAACGTGTTTAGAGGACTTTTATTTTCTTTTTGCAAACCTTTTATAGAGATCTGAATTTTTAATGGCTCAACAGCTTCCCAGTAAGAGAGCTTTTCAGTGTTTCCACTGAGCTCTTCAGTGTAAATCCACTTACATTGCTAAAGCACAGGAAAAGCCACTTTCTTAGATGAGAAAACAGTGTTATCTGACTGATTTTTTTTTCATGGCATGAAAGAGGTTGTTTATCACCAGAATGTGAGGACCTTGAGATAGTTTGGTGGGGTTTTTTTTCCATATACTTTCTGTGAAAATAAAGATTTTAGTTTAGGAACAGGCAAAAGAGAAGGAAGAATTTAAAGGGATTTTTACTTTTAATTTTTATAAAAAGCTGAGCTTGGTAAACAGTGATAATGTCTAAGAATTGAGCTCAAAATTAACTCATCCTGATGCTAAAATGGCTGTTAAATCTTAAAGTGACCAACTTGTCAAAGGTTATTGGAGCAGTAGGTAGGAAAGAGGTCAAACTCTAATGAGTAATTACAGAGGAAATTCTAGTACAGCAGAGAGCAGAATTCTCTTGCACCAACACAGCTGGGATTATCCAGAATGCAGCTGAGATTAAGAGTTAATTGAGGGGTGCAAGTCTGTCCATCATAACACTCGCTGGGGGTTGAAAGAGGTTCCCTTTGGGAATAAAAATCCTGGCTGTCAACTGTTCTCACTGCTGAGGCTCTGTGTGTTTTTTGGAAGACTTCAGTTACCTTCTGTGAGGACTTTTGCATGTTTACTGTGTGTCTAGATACACAAAAAATCAGGTTTTTATGTTCTGGTGGGAAGAAAAGGTGATTTCCAAAGTCCATGGAAAAGCCAGTGGGCAGTGCATGAGGGGAAATTGCCCAGGGCATTTCACAAGGAATATTTTAGATTAGTTTGCTTTACTGTGAAGTCATTAAAAGACTTTTTTTGCTCTTTAAATTCCAATGTGGGTGCAAGAGTTTCACCTGTGGATGAGTATGTAATGAAGTTTTTATTGGTAACATTTAATGAAGTTGACTTGCATCATGTTTAATTTGACACAGAGAACAGCTTTAAATGTCATTATTATGGGGAGATTGGAGATTGCCATTTAGCATCGTTGTGTATTCTGAGATTTGCATTTTGGCTACTCCAAGGAGCAATGCCATCCAGGGAGTGAGGACATGACTCTTGCTTTTTTGATGCAGATGAGAACCAGTATCCACAGTGCTCTTCAAAGAAATCAGGTGCCACTGTGTGGTGTGACAGCTGTATTGTTCCTGCCAGGTTAACCCCTGTCATTATGGAAATGAGGGAATATTTCTGTGCCCCTGGACCAGATTACATATGTAAAATTCAAAGTACAGATCAGGGCAGCTCTAAATCAGGGAGCCCAGGGACTTTAATTTAAGCCTTGTTAGGCAGCTCCTGTGCAGCAGAGTGGCTGCACTTCTTACTCCTGCTGCTTTCAACAAATAAGGGAATATTTCACTTAAACCTCGCATTCAATCCAGTAATTTAAAGATTTCAAGGTTCTCCAGTAATTTGTAGTACATGACAAGAGCCAAAGCAGCTACAATTCCTGTGTATTAAATTAGAAGCAACCTATGGAGTGTTATGAAGGGCATCTCTCTCGTGCTCTATAAGCAACATCAGTTTTTCAGTGGCTCACCAGGGTTCTTGAATTTTGTTGGTTTTTTTTCCTAAGAGCAGAGCAGGTTCTTCAACTCCCACTGCAGATTGTCATTGTTATTTTTACCAGTGTTGTGCTTTGCCTGCTTTTTTCTCAATTATTTCTACTTTTCCTTTCCTAAATATTTCCTAAACATTGTTAATGTGGATTCACAGTCACCCAGTACAGCAGCTGTATATTAAATTTTATGATGCAGTGGAAAACTCTCTTTTTAGGATTGTGCCAGAAGGAGTGCTGGTGGTTAATTACACCAAATACAACAATTAAATTTATTACCTAAAAGTTAACTAAAGCTCTGCAGTAACTGCTGATGTTATTATTTAAATATCACAGGTAGTTCTTTTGTGTACTTTATAATTAACCTGTATTAGTAAATAATTTCTCTTGGGTGAATTCACGAGTTGGGAGACTGATTTTGAAATTTAGGCAGACAGGACTATATTTTTTTAGATTGCAGTTTTAAAAACTGAAGACAAGATCAGAAGGTAAATCTATACAGTTCTTATTAGGTTATGTTTACAGAGGAAGATGTGAAATTCTACCTCGCAGAACTGGCCCTTGCTTTGGATCACCTTCACAGCTTGGGAATTGTGTACAGGGACCTGAAGCCAGAAAAGTAAAGTAAAATGTATTTTACCACTATTATGTGTATTTTGCTTGTTGCTTTACATTTTCCACTGTAGTGATGTAAAAAAAAAAAAATTAAATACATTTTTGTTAGACTATGTAAACAAATATAAACCATAAAATATATAGACATGATTTAAATTAAATAATGTTCACTTATTAAAGTAATAACAGTGGTTGGATATAATGCTTTTTAACTTGTATTTAAAATATTATGTGTAAACATTGCCCTTTATGTGTTTTGGTGAATGTGAATTTTAATTTTCAGCATTTTGCTTGATGAAGCAGGACATATCAAGTTAACAGGTAAGGCAGCACTCTTTAGAACTTTCTGAATATCTTTCTGCATAAGCTTTTTGTGTGTGTTTTTGGATTATCACTTTGAAATACATAAAAAATGCAGGAAAAGAGTTCTGTGAGGAAAATTAAAATAGATCTTTTCTAGGAAGTGATGTCTACAAAAGGCGATTTGGAAACCAAATTGCTGTGAATTTTTGAAAGCTCTAAATTACTTTTAAGGTGATGCTTTTGTACTGCAGATTTCATTATATATTTGGATCTATAAATGTTGCTGTTAGATTCCAAGAGAAGAGGAAGTGTTTTAAACTCTCCCAGATTTGATGGAATAATGGTGATCTTTATGAAATTCCACACGGGTCTGTTTATATTTAATTCAGTCTTAAAGTTCTCCCTTCCTTCTGCAACTGGAAATGACGATGGATTATCGATTGGCAATATTTCCCCTATGAAAAAAGGGATATTTAAAAACCTCAGTCTGAGAGCTGAGCCAGTATCAAGGACTTGTGTATTCACTGGCAGGAAAAAAAGGATTCTGGGAACTGAGGAGCAGAGATGCAACACTGTTCTTTGCTGAACTCGAGTCAGGTTGCAGAACCATGTTGGCTTATGTAACAACAATATTTTTAGTCAGATTTTACTTATTCATCATTCAGTAATACCAGACCAAGCAGGCTGTGTTCCTGCTGAAACTCCTTTTTTATTTCTGTCCAATTTTTTTGTGTGAATAAAGGAGGCAGTAGACACAGAAAACAGGAACTTTTGGTTATCTTAAGGCTCTAAATGTGTAATGTTTCAAATATGAAGTTATTTCAGTAATAATGTCGATGGCTGCTTGTCCATTTAATGACTTAGAGAATGGTTTTGGTGTATGCAGTGAACTAATGTCTGTGGTATCTCTAGATACATACTGTTTTTTTCCCTGAAATTCTTTACTGGCTGTGTTCTTCTGATGCTGTTGTTGTAGACTTTGGACTCAGCAAAGAATCAGTAGATCAAGAGAAGAAGGCCTATTCTTTCTGTGGTACTGTAGAGTACATGGCACCTGAAGTGGTAAACAGGAGAGGGCACAACCAGAGTGCTGACTGGTGGTCCTTTGGGGTCCTCATGGTACTGTGCTTTTGCTTCCCTTCCTAAGGTCACAAACACTGCATTGCTCGAAGAGAATGTGGCTTAATGCACGTAGAATAAGCTTGTCCAGTTTTAATTATCAGTGCTTGGGGTAAGGGGGTGAATTCAGTAACTGAATTGCCACTGTAATGGCAACTCAGTCGAAGAAAATTGACTTTTCACCTGCTTAGCCCTGTATGGAATCCTTACAAGGCACCATAAAGCTCATATATGTGCTTTCCATACCATTGTATGGGTGTGAAATGCCAGTTGGTGTATTTATTTTGCATGTTACTTGGTAGTTAAGGGGGAAAAAAAACCATACTTGAAACCTTGGTTTGAAGGAGTATTAATGGCATTTTGAGGAGTGAGCCTGTGGAAGGAATGCTGGAGTGGAGCTGTGGGATAAGGAACTGCTCCCACTTCTGCCCTTGCTGGGATGCCTCAGAGCATCAGGCTGACACTGATGGGCATTAAAAGTAAAGTACTGTTCCAGTATTTATTGTTCTTGCAGTTTTTAAAACATGGCAACGTCTGAAACTTGGTTATGGAGGAGATTTTATTGCCTTCAAGTGGCTTTACGGATGTAAAATGTTTCCCCATCCTCACTATGTCACCTTGCCACTGTTACCATCACGTAACTGCCAGTGAGGACTGTAGATTTGTGGCGTTTTGATAATGTTTAGAGATGATGTAGGGAAGAGTACAGTGCTTAACACTTTGTTTCAGCAGCTGGGGGGAAGAAGTGTTGATTGAGGTGAACATTTGTTCTTTCCAGTTCGAGATGCTCACGGGTACCCTGCCGTTCCAAGGTAAAGATCGAAACGAAACCATGAATATGATACTGAAGTAAGTACCTGTTCTTACTCCTTGGGGAAGTCAGAAAATGTAATTTTAGACATGTTTTAACAGCTTGTTATAACTCACTGTGCAGCCTGGTCCAGTGGAAGGTGTCCCTGCCCATGGCAGGGTTGGAACAAGATGCTCTTTAAGGTCTCTCCCAGCCCAAGCCATTTTATGATTCTGAGAGCATTCAGTTAAAAACAGGAACAAAAAAAATCAAAGCCCCCTGATAAGATTTAGATCCCAGATCATAAATACCATTAAGGATCTATAGGAATTAAAATCTTAGGGATGAATTTGTTTCCATTGTAGGTGTGTAATAAAGATAAGAAGGGTAGAGGGAATTAGAGCAGCATTGTTTGCACCCGTGTTGTTGTACTCCCTTGCCACTGTTACAGCACACCTTGTTTTGTAAGCAGCAGGTGATGAGGTGTTGCTTTGTGTGTGGATGGATGGAAGGCACTTACAGGCTCTCAATTCTCATCTTAAATTGCCTCAGTTACAACAGAGGCTGTTGAGCCAGACAGACTGGGTGAACTGGTGCTCAGTGAGTGGAGCTGTTGGGCAAATATGTTCTTGTCTGTGTTTGTGCTCAACTCACAAAGAGTTTCCTCCAGAGCCCTGAGAGCCCTGGGCCCTTGAGGGGCTGATGGGGAAGGGCAGGAGGGAGAAGCTTCACTCCCTCAGTTGGAACTTGCCCTGAGTGTGGGTTTACAGGTTGCACGTGAAGGGATGGATTAGAGCACAAGCTGCCCCACTTGCAGCTCCCAAGTGGTGCTGCAGTTCTGCAGGGGAATCTCTTGCCTTAGCATAATAGTTTTCATGAAATCAAATAAGTGCTAAAGTCAGGGAGCTTTCATGTGATGGCTCAACGAGCTACTTGAGGCCCTTGCTTCAAGAGGAAGAGCAGCAATCACTTCAGGGCAAGTAATTGGGATTTGGTGACTCCCTTCTGGTGTTGATTCTGGTGATATGAAGGTATCTTGGAAAATACTTAGATATTCCTCTGGAATACTTCTTTTACTCTGTTTTAGCATAAAGGTTGGGGGGCTTGATGGTTTGAGTCCAGCATGTTCTTTCTTTATTGTTTCTTTTAAACCACACATATAATGTGAAACTTTAAAAGTTGGTGAGTTAAATACATGCACTCTTCAAGCTTTTAGAATAGATCAAACTGTTCAGTAAAAGTCTATGTAGATACTTTTTAGTACAATATATTTCTTTCTCTTACTTGTTCTCTGGTTCTTTTCAGAGCAAAGCTGGGAATGCCTCAGTTCCTCAGCCCTGAAGCACAGAGTCTCCTGAGGATGTTGTTTAAAAGGAACCCCTCAAATAGATTAGGTTGGTTCATTTATTTGGATCTTTAAATAACTCAACCCAGCTACTGTCAGTTCAAAGGAAGCAGTTGCCAGAGACTCCCAGGCTCTGGGTGATCAGTAATATTTGGGCTTAGATCCCATTTCTTAGCTTGGATTGTGACCTCTGGGTTTGGTCAAGAATGATCAGAGCTTGAATCTGTGACTCTTGGTGAGCTTGGACAGTGTCAGAGCAAAGAATATTTGCTCTGTATTCGTGGGGCTCTTGTGTTCTGCCTCCCTGATGAGGTGTCCACTGCTTGATCACATCCTTGGAATATTTGTGTATTTACAGTTCATTCAGATAACCACTGTGTCTGTATGGATTTTTTAGAAATGAACTAATTTTTAGTGAGATCTTCAAAGATATACCCAAAAGTGAGTTAAATACACTATTTTCTCTGTTCAGGAGCTGGTTCAGATGGAGTTGAAGAAATCAAGAGACATCCTTTTTTTTCTACTGTTGACTGGAATGTAAGTACAAAGTGATCTGAATGCTAAAGCTGTTGTGAATTTTTCTGTGTGTTGTAGCATTGTAAGTATTTGCATGTGAATAGGGCCCAACAAAGTGCAGCAGTGCTGACTGTCACATCCTGGCTGCTGCTCTCATCTTCCTTGGCATCTGGAGCTGCTGTATTTACGGTACAGAGAGTATTAATTATGAATTGGGCATTTAATTTTTAAATAATGAAGAGTTGCAGCTTTCTAAAGCTGGAGTTGTCTGTCAGCATTTGTAGCTGGGAGAGGATTCTGGTGTTCCCTCTGTGCAGGAATCCTCCTCTCCAGTGTCTGTCTGGTGCTTCCATGCAGGGCACAACTCCCTGTGAGTGTAATTCCCTTGGATTTCTCTCCAGTTGCCACAGCACATCCCTGATTGATCGCTCAGATCCCATTCCCAGTTGGAATATTGACTCTGGTGCTCTGAGATGATCCAAAGCCTGTCCGAGATCACAACTGTTGCTCACATTTTTAACAAGCACCTTATGATTTTCCTCTGTGGTTCTGGTTCTCCATCTTTTGAGATGTGTTTCCCAGAAACGTTCTCAAAAGCAGGATGTTCCATATCAAATAAATCCCCTCTGAAAACCCTCCTTTGCTGTAAATTCCTGCAGAGGAGTAGATGGAATAAACAAGATGTTGCTCTGCTGACAGGACTACTGGGCCAGTGCTGTGCTCACCTATTTTCTTTTTCTTATCCTTTTCTTTTTCTCTTGGGTTTATTTCTGAAAAGGTGTTTTGTTAGCTGTGTTTATGCAGAATCCACCACCAACAGCAAAACTTCACTGTTTTATGTGAATACACTTGATAAGTTGTTGTCTTGTTTTGGCTTGATCATCTACTTATTTTTATCTTAAGAGACTGATACTGAAATAAATACCAGCAATGAAGTTTGGAAGATCTGCAGTTCTAGCTCTTTCTTTTTTCTTCATAATTTTTTTTTAAAGTTGACAATAATTTGTATTTATTTCATTCTGGTGGTGGTGATGACCATTTCTGGATTTCATTTCATTTATCTCATTATCTCTTTGGGATGAATTTAGGTCTCTCTTCCTTGGTGATTTTTTTGATGTTTGGTTTGCCTTTTTTTTTTTTTTTAATTGAAATATATTCTGTATTCATGTGCAAGAAGATTAAATGAAAAAAAAAAAAACAAACCAACCTGCAAAAAATAGATCTGAAAGGAGAAGAGAAATAGCAAGAAAATGCTCTCAGAACTTCCTGACCTTTGCATGGGGCTTTGACATCATTTAACATGAAATTTTCTCTTCCTGAGCTGTAAATGGGACTTATTGCAGCTTTGAGATCACTCAGGCACTGCATTTCTCTAAAGCATGTTAAGTAAAGGAGAAAAAAAAAAGCAGAGCCTTTGTTCTCCTTTCCCTGATTTAGTTTGGGGCTTTAGGACAAACCTGGACTGGAGCTTTGAGAAGGGGCAGTGCCAGCCCAGAAGGACGTGCCTTTACCTGGGCAAAATCACAGCCCCCGTGCAAGGCTCAGTGACTCTTGATTAACTGATTTTTTATTTTTTTTTTTAACTTCTACTCAGAAACTGTTCAGAAGAGAAATCCAACCTCCATTTAAACCTGCTTCTGGAAAGCCAGAAGACACCTTTTGTTTTGATCCAGAATTCACAGCAAAAACACCAAAAGGTAATTAATTGTGCATGGCTGTAAATTGGTGAGGTTTGTGGGACAAGAGGGTCAAGTTCCTGTTAAAACAACAAGCAAAAAAAACCAGTGACAGAGTTAAAAGGAAAGGATGCAACAGGGTTTCCAGTGCTTTGAAGGAGTGTGTTCTCCTCACAGGGTTCCTGGTCTTTGAAATATTCTGCTAAACTTCGATTCATACAGAAAAAAGTGAAATAAATGGAATGTTAACGTCTGAATTGTGGTTTCTAGTTGTGATTTAAAGTCAGACACGCACTGCTTGGGGGTAATTAATACTAAAAGCAGACTCAGTTTGATAGCAACACTGAATATTTTTAGGGTCAGTATTTCACTAAGAAGTACTTGCTTTAAGTAATGATTATAATTAGTGTTGTTTAGTCTGCTTCAAGTTTCACTTCAGATTTTCTTTTGTGATTTTTTTTTTCTTCTTTCCTGCTGCACCCAACTCTTAAACCCATTTGTTTTTGTTTGGAGAAGGTCTGTGGTCTCAACAGGCTGCACAATATTTTCAAGCTGTGCTTACTGTGAGACTTCATAGTGAATTTAGAGGTGCACATAATATAATCTGGGGAAAATTGGGTTCTAATTATTCAGTAATACCACTAATTAAGTACTCTTGCACTGCCTCACTTGTGCCTTGCCAGCAGCACATGCACCACTGAAGCAGCACAGTCTGGTTGCTCTTCTGTGTTATGAAGTTGTTGAACACAAGACCACGATCTTTATTTCTTTTTCATAAGGGAAGTTGTGTTTCAGTAAATTTCTCCCTAAAAACATATGTTCATACACTAATTCCTGCAGTGCTTCCCAGTTCAGATAAGACCCAGGAACACTTGCTTTGTGTTTGCTACAGAAATAAGAGCAGACAGATAAAAATCTAGAAGTCTTACTCAGCATCTGGTGTTATTCTTGGTTGCTTCCCTTCCTTCCCTCAGAACGTTTCTTGTGGGTTAACTCTCTTAAATGTTGACAAATGGCCTTGTTTTGCTGGGATTTATCCACACTAATCGCTTGTGTCTGCCACCAGATTCTCCAGGAGTCCCACCGAGTGCAAATGCCCATCAGCTCTTCAAAGGATTTAGTTTTGTTGCAACTACTACTGTAGAAGACCATAAAATATCCCCTCTCACCAACATTCTGCCCATAGTACAGGTAACACTTCTTGGGTTTTGGGAAACTTTGTTGACATGTCAGAGACTGACCAATATTTAGTATTTACAACCTGTTCTTTTTTGGGGGGAGGGGGGAACCATTATAAAATGTGCCTTATTAAAATACTTCCCTGGGATATTTTTGAATTTTAAAAAAGTCAGCTGCTGTTTCTCTGGAGGCAGAATTCCAAAGAGAAATCATGGGCAGGCAGGAGAAACTTTTGCTGTTGGGAAACTGTCATGGCAAAGAGCATCTTGTTGGTTTAGATGACAATTTGAATTTGTTGGTTTTTTTTTTTTTGAAGCAGCTTCATGGGAACAGTGCCCAGTTCACTGATGTCTATGAACTGAAGGAAGATATTGGTGTTGGTTCCTACTCTGTTTGCAAGAGATGTATACACATAGCCACAAACATGGAGTTTGCTGTGAAGGTACTGGAATAAATTTCCTTGTTAACAGTTCAGAAATTATTGTGCAGCAGATTTGTAAATTTAAATTTATGAATTTTCCAATTAGTGTAGCTGTTTTTGTAAGTCAGAAGCCTGAAAATACTGTACAATTATGAGAACAGCAGAAATGAGATTCACAAGGGTGGAACTGGGCTGCAGAGGGAATTAGTGATGCTTCAGACAGTCCATTGCATTTCCTTGCCCACTGGAGCAGGATAGGCTGCATTAATGATAGAATCTTAACAAGGATAGAGCAAGAAATGAATAAACTATGGGATGTGAAGCTGGAACGTGAATTAATCGTGATGAGTAAGAAGTAATTAACTCTGGAATTTTTTTATTCTGTTGTTGAAGCAAAGATGTAAATAGGAAAAAAATGTCTTTATTAAGCAGGCTTTGTTTAGCCAAGTTGTTTTTCCTGTTATATTTTGCAGATAATTGATAAAAGCAAGAGGGATCCCTCAGAAGAAATCGAGATTCTCATGCGTTACGGACAACATCCAAATATTATCACTCTGAAGGATGTATGTACCTCTGTCCCTGCTACCTCTTACTGCACAGTACTCAAAAAACAAGTAGAGATGCAGGGAGTTTATTGGGACTCATTAAATTTCCTTTACATGGTAAAATGTATTGTGAGAGCAGTACCTAATAGTAAAGGGAGTATTTCAAAATACAGTGTTGTCCTGATACTAATTCTTTCTAAAGGCTGTTTAATGAAGCTGAAGTGAGAAATGATGTAAAGGTTAGAAATGCCATATTTCTTATTTGAAATGAGTACTGGTGTGGGAATCTGAGAATGCTGTTCATGTCCTGTCTATGCCAACTGCCAACAGCTAAAAGTTATCTGTGGATGGGAAGAGCAACAGGGAGTGGTGGGGCTGCTTTCCTCTTGGAGCAGAAGTTCTGAGACTGAAAAATGTAATCGAGAGTCATGAATCAACTGCTGATTGACACATGAGCTGCCTCACACTCCGTGCTGTGCCAGGGCCTGCTGTTTGTGCTCCACGTTCCTGTGGGAGGAGGGGAACAGTCCAGTCTGAAACTTCGGTTCATTGGGATGTGTAATCGGAGATGTTGGTTTGGAATAGATACAGTTACATGCTTACACTTGTTAAACCTCTCCTCAGGTGTATGATGATGGCAGGTTCATCTACCTGGTGACTGAGCTGATGAAGGGGGGGGAGCTGCTGGACCGGATCCTGAGGCAGAAGTTCTTCTCGGAGCGTGAGGCCAGCGCCGTGCTGTTCACCATCGCCAAGACCGTGGACTACCTGCACTGCCAGGGGGTGAGGGTTCCTGCCAGCCACAGCCTCTCCCACATCTCTGAGAGTTACACATCCCTTGTGCTACGTGCCTGGCTTGTTGTTATGGCAGAAGGGAGAAAGGTTTTGTATTTTATTACAAAGGTGAATCATATCAACAACTCGTCCTGTTCTTCTGGCAAACCCTTTGGACTCTGCAGTTTGTGAAGCAGCAGATATTTGTTCTCTTGTGCTTGTTGGCAAATGGTGATGTCAGTTCCAGTCACATTATGAGCCAGTGGGATTTTTATTACCTTACTTGAACTAGAATTTTCTGTTACTTAATAAGTGTATTCGTCTAGAGAACAGTTTCTATAAATTGCAAATTCGGTACAAACAAATGCACTTTGTTTGGTGCTCTTTCTAAATGGTGCCTTTTCAAATTTCTTGGTTTAAAGGTGGTGCATCGAGACCTCAAACCCAGTAATATTTTATATACAGATGACTCCAATAATGCTGATTCCATCAGGATTTGTGATTTTGGATTTGCAAAACAGCTTCGAGGAGAAAATGGACTCCTTCTAACCCCGTGCTACACTGCAAACTTTGTGGCACCAGAGGTATTTTAAGCTGCTCTGTGTTTTCTTTATGCTGTTTTTGATGCATCAGATACTTAAACTTGTTAGCAATGCTTGAAAAAAAAAAAAAAGAAAAACTCTGCTAGTTTTCCTTAAATATAATCACACATACTTTACAAATACTGGTGCATGAGTTTATTATAAAACTGCTTTAAAATAGCAGAGTCTACCCTCAAAAATAAGATGTTAGCCTGTTGAAAATCTTAAGAGATGATGTTCTAGGAACAGGAAATATTGTTGGTATTTACTACCACCTGTATATTGAAAAATCAGTAGTCAAACCTGTGACATGATGCAGGGATTGCCTTACCCTTTCTTTGGGCTGGGTAGTGCTGTTGGTTTGGGGTGGTTTGTGATCCATGCAAAGTCTTTAACACTCTTTGTTTCACAGGTGCTCATGAGACAGGGCTATGATGCTGCTTGTGACATATGGAGCTTGGGTGTTCTTCTTTACACCATGTTGGCAGGGTGAGAAAGATTTCTGAGCTGTTTTGTTTACCTAAAATTCCAGCATGCTGCCTGAATCCCTGCTTCCCTTCAAATGGTAAGGGATTACCTCATGGAATGACACACTCAGGTGGAACAGTAAGTCAATAAGTAAACACAATAACCAGCCTTATCTTACAAGGAGGTTTAAGGCTTCTCTTTTCCATAGGACAGGATTGGGGGATGCCAAGGACTTCCCCCAGTTCTCTGGAGAGAATTTAGCCTGTGAAAGTACCTGGGGGTTTTCTTTTTACCCTGCAACCTCTCATCCTCCCCACCCTGCACCCTTGGAGTCACCTTCTGGCATCTCCTGGCCCTGTTATAGAACACACTGGTTTATAGTTCTCTAACTCACCCAGACTGATGCAGCTCTAGGAAGCATCTAGTGGCCAAAGGAGAAAAGGTTTTCTGAGTTTTGCTCTAGCAGAAGACTAGCAGGCTTTTTTGTCTAAGGGCTAAATAATTGGAAATTATTCTCTTCCTAAATTGGTACTTGTGATGTACTATGAGAAGTGTTCGTAGTATTTAACAGTACCTGTGTATTCTGTGATATGTTTCTGTTGGCAGTGGAATTCTGAGTGATTCACGAGATTTCTTCCCAATTCCTGGCAGTTTTTTACCCCTAACAAGGTGCTTTGTTTTTTGTCTCTCAACAGCTACACTCCCTTTGCCAATGGTCCCAATGATACTCCTGAGGAGATCCTGGTACGGATAGGCAGTGGAAAATTCTCCCTAAGTGGAGGCAACTGGGACACTGTTTCAGATGCAGCAAAGGTGGAAATGTGTTCTGTTTTGACATTTTTGTAGAATTCAAAGGAATGTTGCTGAACATTATAAACTAGACTGGTCTGTCAGGGCAGGTTGTTTGTGGGGTTCCTTCACTGCAGGGATGATTTTTACAGTTATCTGTCAGTTGTAGTAGCTGCCCAGTCTGCCATTAAGTTGAATTTTTTATAGTGCCATTTCTTTGTTGTTCAGTGCTGAAGTCATTGAGTGTCTTGTCTTTGTTAGTACTTTAACAACCAATTAGATCTGCATATCTTGCCAAAAATCTTCATCAGCTTGATTATGCAGCTGTCCCTTTTTATTTAAAAACACTCCATCTCTTCTCAATTGCTGCATGGGCTCCCTGGTGTTGACCTGGTATCTTAATCACCAGTGTTACCTTTTCTAAAGATTGGCATTAATATTATTAATATTTAATAACTATTAATAATACTTACTAATATTAAAATCTCCTTTCCTGATCCTTTGGAACTGTACTGTTTGTTCAGTTCAGTAGGAGTGATTCAGAATGCTGCTGTCTTAGCACAAGTAACTCACTTCTGTGTATTTAAGAATGCTTGACAGTTTGTACCTCAAACAAATGGAACATTCTGTCTGCTTGTCCATATTTTGTTTTTAATTCAGACTATTCCTATCTCTGTTCTGTGCCCTTCCCACCCAGCTCTGCTTTTGACCAGCACTGTAATTAGTAGCTTATTGCTGATGCTTCTAACAGGCAAAACCAAGTGGCCATTGCTGTTGGATTTATGCTTTATGTGGCTCCTTGAAGGAAAAGTTCACTGCTGGTGTGTCACTATCAATTAATTCAATTGTAATATGTAGTCAGACCCCAAACATGCAGAACGAACACGGAGAGATGTTTGCAAATAATAGCTTTCCTCCACAAATTCTGTCTGCTAAATTCTAATAGGATTTCTAGTCTTTTAAAGATTCTGTTAATAACAGACATGAAAGGCACAACAGCAAGTTCCTTTGCAATAAAGGCTTGCTCTGTTGAACTGCTGCAATAGTACAACACATTGTTTTGAGCCTTCTGCAGTGTCAAGGCACAGAAAGATCCAGTCTGTCTGCTGATCTGGGGGGGGGGGTGTGTGCATTGTGTTAATCCCTCTGCCACAGTGGGTCCTTTGCTCACTGCTGCCATCAGGACTGCTTTAAAGATGATTTCAGGTGAACAGTGTGTTTGGTTTCCCTGCAGGACTTGCTCTCCCACATGCTGCACGTGGATCCCCACCAGAGGTACACGGCAGAGCAGGTGCTGAAGCATTCCTGGATTGCCTGCAGGGACCAGCTGCCACATTATCAGCTCAACAGGCAAGATGCCCCACATCTAGTAAAGGTAAAACACCCTGCACTGTGCTCAGGGTGGTGGCTGTGCAGTGGGTTGGGTTGGTTCACAGCTACAGACAGAACTTTCGTTAGTTCTTTTTGTTTGTTCTTTAGAAGAGGAATTAACTTCCTTTTCTTTCCCTTAGAACCTGCTTATGTAACTACATGAGAAATTCATGGAATGCTTTGGGTTGAAGGGACTTCAAAGTTCATCCAGTCCCACTCCCTGCCATGGGCTGGGACAACTTCCACTATCCCAGGTTGCTTCAAGCCCCGTCCAACCTGACCTTGGACACTTCCAGAGATCCAGGGGCAGCCACAGCTTCTCTGGGTAACCTGTGCCAGGGCCTGCCCACCCTCACAGGGAAGAATTCCTTCCCAATATCCCATCCAAGCCTGCCCTCTGGCAGTGGGAAGCCATTCCCCCTTGTTCTGTCACTCCACACTCTTGTGTAAAGTCCATCTCTAAATTAATAATAAATCATTTGTTTACCTTATGTTCAAAGGAAGAGATTTTTCTGGGTGTTTTCTTTGCAAAGATTAAGGTAGTTTAATATTGAGTTGTGTCATGACTGTCAGGATGTGAATAGCCTCTGAACCTGCTGTATTTGATAAACTGGTGCTGATCTCGCTTGGAAGGTGCTAATTCTGCCCTACATTAAAAGGTGACTCCTACATCTAAGGTATACAAAAGAAATACACAGGAAAGAAAAAGAAATGTCACATGTCAGCCATGCTTAGAAATCAGAAGGATTCAGCAATAAATGTATTTTTCCAAGCAGATTTTAGAGGTGCCTGTGACCTGCCATAAGTAATTTGGTTTTCGTTGAGTTAACTGAGAACTTAATTTTCAATTGCTTTATTGTCTGATAAAAATACTTTTTTAATATATATATATAATTATTTTATATTTCTTTTTTCCCCAGGGAGCCATGGCTGCTACATATTCTGCACTGAACCACAAGACATTTCAGCCAGTGTTAGAGCCTGTTGCAGCCTCCAGTTTAGCTCAGCGACGGAGCATGAAAAAGCTCACATCCACAGACTTATAGATCCACTGGCACACCTGAGCACACAGAAGCAAGGGGGAAACTCAACAAGGGGCTCTGTTTCGCCTGACCTGTGATCAAAAAGGCATCTATGGTTTCCTGCTACACTACTTGAATTCTGTAAAAGTCCTTTTTTTTAAAAAGAAAAAAGAAAAAAAAAAATCCACAGGTTCATACTGTGTTTGTTTTACAGGCTGTATCTGTAAAATTAATTTAAACATCAGGTACACCATGATGAACTTCTCTACACTGTCCTTTGAGATCTGTTGCAAATATTCTTTCACATTCTGTATAGTTTTGCTGGGTTCAGTTAAAAAAAGAAGTGGTTTAGGGGACCGTTGCCAATGACCAAGTTGTACATAAAGTGTCAGTGGGAGTTTTCTTTTCCTCACACCTTTTAGACCCTGTTGTGAAGGACAAATTAATTTTGTAATTGGGCACTTAATTCATTCAACTTGATTCATTTCACTTGTCCAGGACTCTTATGCAAAGTTGGCTCATGTCTTGTGCCAGTGTTCAGTTCATTAGTGTGGGTTTGGGAGGTCTGTGTTTGCATGGTGCCAGTAACTGATAAATTTATGTGAAAATACAAAGGGATGTGGAAAATTCTGCACTTTACCCATCAACTTAATTTGATCACTTGTGACCCAAAAAGAAGTGCTGATTGTGGCCTCTTAACAGGAAAATGAACATTTCTAGTTGTTGCCACAAATTGTGTTCTGCACTGAGCTGGAAGAAGTTAAAATGTGCATAAACTGTCAAAAATAAGGATCTCAAAATCATTGGTACCACTTTGAGACAACACCATGCAGCTCAATCTTTGTTACTTCTATCTGCCATCCATTAGTACAACTACTGAGTTACATCCCTCAGCAGTCTTTCCACTGAATATCAAGGTTTTTGGCATATGACACAAACTGACACTTTATTATAACAGACTTGGCACGTGGATTTTTATTTATTTGATTTTATTTTTGTTTGTTTTAAAATAGAACGTTGTTGCTTCTCTCTGAACCTCTCGCTGCATGTACAAATATTACAGAACAGAAATGCAAAATTCTCTTTGCCTAACTGTAGGGGTAGCTTGGGGAAATTATTAAGCCTTGCAGTGTGCCCAGATAAGGGAATTCTGACCAAGGAATGTCACAGTTATGGATGAATTCCTGTGGCCAGCACTCCCTTGCCCTCTCTGTCTGGTGTTAGGACTTGAGCTGTTCCTAAATGCTGTGATGAAGAGGAAAGAAATTGCAGGGCCAGAATTATCTTGGGGGTTTCTGCTTCAAAACCTTTGCTAACTGCTGGTAGACTGGGAACTAAAGCATTCAGAGATAAAAGTGTTCTCCAAAGTTGTAGACACTGAACAGTTATAATTTCATAGCAGGATGACACACATTTTAAATATTAATTAAATTAGTGACATCAGACTGTGAAGAGGTAGAAAATCCAAGTGACCAAAAATCAAATCTGATTTGTCATCATTGAATTTCCACTTACAGGACCCCAGTGATGGCAGAACTGGGGCGTTTTGAGACAGAGGAAAATAAAACCTTCCAGGAGAATTCTGGCCCAGCCACCAGGAGTGGTGATGGGAACTCCCATCTTACAGGAGGGTGTTGGCTGGGTTTTGTCTGTACCTGTGAAGCACTTGGGGGTGTTGGAAGTTCTGTTAGATAAGCTGCTTTCTTCTGTTGTGATGGGGGAAGATGGGAATTACCTGTTCAGATATTTAGGTCTGAATATACCTAGATTTGAGACTTCCTGAGGATAGCAAACATAGGTGTGCTCTTTGTATCCTGCAGAACGTGCCCCATGTGGAATTTCTGGAGTGCTGGAAGCTTTAGGGGCCATTTGTGCCTAGTTTTGAGGTGCCTGTTTGAAATGCTTGAAGCTTCTCAAAGAGCTCAACTGCTTCCTCAAAAAGCTTTTTGTTTAGGACAAAATCTGCTTTTGCAGCTGGTTCATCTTCCTTTTCCCTACCCTGGAGACCTTTGCCAGCAAGAATGCCTGTAAAAACCTCTTGTCCACACTCTGTCATGGTAATTCTGATGTAAATTCAGGGCTGACTGCCAGAAGAATTTGAATTCACTCAAAAAAAAAAAAAAAAAAAAAAAAGCAAAATGGTGGAAATGAAGCTCCCTGAGCCAAGGTCAAGGTGTGATGTGGGTTGAAATGCAGTGGTAAAAGCTGTGGTGGGGATGAGAGGTAAATGCAAGGCGTGGAACACAATGGAAATGTCAAACTTGAACTGTCTTCAATTGCCTTTCCTGTAAGGCAGCAGCTGGTCTTTAATGGCTTTACCCATGAATCATTTAACAGTGTTTCTATTGGTATTTTCTTTTAGCTTGTAGAAGCACCACATTATAAGCACCTTAAAAGCATTTTGCACAAGAGCAGTTGGAAGCAGCTGAAGGTACTGGAGTTGTTCTTGGTGTGCAGCACAAAGGTGGTGAGAGGAAAAGTACACAGACAAGGCAGAGAACACAAACAGGGTGGATGTTCTGATTCTTGGCAGAGTTAAAACAGCTCTAAAGTTATCCCTGCTGGTTTCATATCACTCCTGGCCTTTGGTAAAGGTGATGCTCCTGGGGTAAAAGCGAAGTGTCAGTGACTGCAACATTACAGAGTTGTCTTATCATGAGGAGAAGGTGTGGATATGTTATATCTGACAGGCCAGTGTACCCTGGTATGCCAATTGTAATCCTTAATTTAGGGGGGAAGTTCCCTTGCTATGACTGTTTCAGCATATCACTCCTTGAAACATTTTGGACGTGCAGGAATACAGAAGAGTTCATGTGCAGTTTGCTCTTTCTGTGTCTAACAATCATCTTTGAGATGCTCCTTTTGGAATTTCTTCCATATTTCTCATCCCTCCTTTTCCCAGCTTAGGTTTTGTGATACAAAAGTAGCATGATCTGCTCATGGACTGTCAATTAAATGTTTGAAATAGAAGAAAAGGTAACTGGAACAGAGGTCAGTGCACAGTGTTTAACTTTCATATCATCTGGGCACAGCTGAAGTTCACAAATTGCTTTATGAGTTGGGGGAAAAAGTAAGTTTTTACAAAGACTGGTAATTACACAGAAATAGGCATTCAGCCTAGAGGAGTTCCCCCAGGACTAAAACTTAAATGATACAATAGTTTGGCAGTGGCTTCTGTTCCTGCCAGAAAAGCTCCTGCTCTGATGTTTGGCGATAATTATCAATAAGCTCCAACTCTCTGGTACACAGAGGGCAGATCTCACTGACATCAGCTGGAGCTGGAGCAGGCTCAGGACATGCTTTGCTGGTCTTTCACCCCTTGGATATCACTGATTTCCATCTTCAGTTACCCTTTTCAGAAAAAGTGAGGGACTCTGTTGTATTCCTGTTACATATCCACAAACTCTGCAGTGGCATCAGTGTGAGCCAGTGGTGGGTGACACAGAGTGCCCACACCCAGAGCTTGGCCTGGGTGGGTTCAGTCAGTCTGTGACTTCTGTAGTCTCAGTGTTGTGTGGTTTTGGTTCTTTTCCCTATTTTCCTCAAAACCAGTAAACTCTTGACCACAGCAAGAGCCTGAGGTGCAGGTGCTGTGCTGTTCACTGTAGTGTGGTTTAAACATCCCTGCATCCAGAGGGGGAATCCAAAACCTCGCCCAAGTCAGTCCCATTGAGCTGGAATTCTGTCTTCCCTGTTTCAGTTCGTTTTTCAAAGCTGATTTGTGTTTGTCCAATGTTTAAATGACCTCGAGCAAACTTCAGCAGTTGCAAGTTCCTTGTTACAGGCTGCTCTGTGGAATTGAGTTCAGTGAATTAACAAGGCTATAATAATTCTCCTGATTTGTATCAGTGAAATTAGGCTAAAACATCAGTGCAAACGTGGGGGTTTATGTACTTCTGTAGCACTTAAGTTTTTCAGTCCTATCCAGAATTAAAAGTTTGCAAATATTTGTGGGAGGGGAAGAGAGGAGCAAATTTTTCTTTCTTGTGAGTTTTCAGAAGGCTCCTGAAGCTGTGATGATAACAGAGCCCTTATATAATCCTGTAAGGTTAAAAACCATACAGTTCTCCTTGGAAGTTCATTCAGAAACCACGTGGGGTGTGTGCTGATACCTGTTGGTAACACACCTCCTCATTCACACTGTACCATCCATCTGCATTAACATCCTCTAGTCCAGCACATTCTGAGTACTGGTTGTCTCTGCTTCAGTGTAGTTCTTAAATGTTTGCTCCCCCAATTTATGTTGTGCCTTTGGGAATAGAAGAAAATACAAATTTGGGAAAACCCCGCCCTGAGTGTGTAGCTAAAGCTGACTTGAGTATTTATAACAATTCATACAATTAGAAGCCCCCATAAAATCATCAGCAACTGGTTTTCTCGAGCTTTTTCCTGTGTAATGAAAGCAAACTCTCTCTGAAAGCTTTAGAAGATACTTGATTGATTATATCTCAATATTTGGGCAACAGCTCATTACCAATAGCGAGTCTGAATAACCCTGAATCCTCTCCTGGGGTGTTTCTGGGACAGCTGTAGGTGCTGGGGCTGGCTCTCCTTTGCAGGCCCAGGGGTTCAGGTGTGGGTGTTCTGCAGTGGGGCAGTGTTGTTGATGAACTGCATTGTCATCCTGTCCCAGGCACTTTGGCACCTTGCACTGAGCCTCTGGGCAGAGCTGGCCCTGCCCTGGCACGGGAGCGGTGACAGATCCGGATCCGAAAGGGCATTACCTGCAAGCAGTGCAATGAATTCCGTGCTCTCTGAGGTACTTCAAAGATGGAACTATCCAAAAGGTCCCCATTCTCAGATATTGTAACTGTCATTTCTTTCTCTTAAAGCATATTGTGGATTTTGTATCATACTGTATTTATTTCATTTAATTTTAAAAGAAATGTTTTCTTTAAAGCTCTGTATATATTGACATTAAAGTTTGCATTGTACTACGTTCTCCTCTTCTTGCAAGGCTGAGTCTGGCAGTGCAGGGTGTGCTGTGGTGCTTTTCTTGGCACCGTTGCCAAATTGCAGCGTGCCAAAGACAACCTGAAAATGGTATTTATTTTTGTTAAACCTTGTGAATAATCCTAAAGGTACAGTTTTAAATAGCTGGCAGTTCTTTGAGCACTAGAATAAAAAGGTTGCAAATTCATAACGTTTTATAATTGACAAAAAACCATCACTTATGATTTGGAAGTTCACCAGCTCTTTTTTTTTATTATTTCCACTTTAAATGGATGAGCAAGCATTCCTAAATTAAATATAAATTGTATTACTTGGTAAATCTTGCCAAAAATCTCACACACATCAAGAGCTATTTAGAAATTTATCCTCAGTCAAGTGTTTCATGCCACACTTGTAATAAAACAGGCATTCAGTGGTAGGATTGATGTGTTAGGGTGGGATGATCCACCTTCTGTGTGTTTTTCAGGTATCTGTTAAATTTGACTTAATGCATTGAGAGGAAATAATTTTCCTGCAAAGATCTGGTCCTTTGAAAATAGACACTTGGACTGTGAGTGCCAGGAATCACATTAATAACTGCCCTGCATAGACACCTGGGCAGGGTTATGATGATAAATCACTGCAGATTATTGAACTCCTCTGTCCTAAACATGAACTGTTGCAGCAAAGCCAAGTGTTGTTGATGTTCTCACTGCCAGAGAATGGAACAGCTCAGGATAATATCCCATCATGGCGCAAGAAAATGAGATTTCAGGATAATGGCATTGATGGTAAATTGTAATATCTGGGTTTTAAATCACTCCTGAGGTATTTGGTAACTGCTGTTGCTGTTTGTATTCAAAATGGCTTATGGATATTTTTGTTTTTCCATCGTTCCCAAGGCACAGAAGGGTTTTCCCACAGTTGCCTCAAGTCCATCTCTTGGGTGATGTTTGCTCACACAGAAGCACTTTGGGGCCTGTCTGCTGGGTGACTGAAACCGTATAGGAGGCAACAGGTGAAAAAGATTCCAAGATGGTGATGATTTGCTTTGATTTCACTGAAGGTAGGCAGGAAAAAAATAACCAAATTGGCCAAAAATATTACTCCAAAATACTTTTAATAGCCCTGAAAACCCCAAAGTCTCAGTGAGTTCCTGGAGGCTTGGTGAAGATGTTGCTGGTGGGAGAAGAGACAAGGCATGGATCAAAACCCAACCTTACTGAAAGGTTTCAGAAACCAAGCAAGTGTTAAAAAAGGGACTCCAGAGTGTGCCTTTATCACATCCTGCTCGTCTTGTTTTCCTGCACATTTTGGTTCTCAGGAGCTGTTTTCCCTGTGATTCATCTCTGAAGCTTTATGACTGTTAAGAGGCACCTTCCCACCTGTTTTTTGTGCTTGTATGGGGTGGACAATGTTTTAAGGTAAAGAAAACGCTCCCACCTCTGCCCCAGCACTGGCACGTAGCAGGACGAGGGAGCAGGTGTCTGCTGGAAGTTCTGCCAAAAATAAGGATTTAACTGTATTGTAATGTTTATTTAGCAGTTTTCCCCAAGAACAGGTATTTTGTTGTCTTCCACTTCTTTTGGGCTGGATTCAGTCGTCTCAGGGGTGAGGAAGCAGTGAGTAGCAGGGGTGAAGCACAGCCCCAGGGGACGCTGCTCAGAGGGGATACAATTCCTTATTGCTCTTCTCTTGAGAATCTAAACTCGAAATTATTTCAATCCCAGTATTGCTGAGGGTAGGATGGAGCAGCAGATCTCGGGAACATCGAGCCTTTGAAATGTTCCCATTTCAGCTGGGCTGTCGGACACTGGAGCAGGAAAATGTGCCTTCACCGCAGCCTCGGTGGGTCCTGCCGGGGGGAGCCGGGTAACCCCTCGGGGAGCATTTCTCCTTGGGGATCGGGAGGAAATTCCTGATGCCTGGAGTGCAGGCAGGGAGAAGGGACACGGAAGGAACCTCCAGGTGGGTACAGAGTCCCCAGCGAGCCCAAAACCACCGCCGAGTGTCGGTGCCGAGCCCCGCGGCTGCTGGGCCGGGCTGGTCCCATCGCGGGGCCGGTCGTGGCAATTCCCGCTGGCCGAGCCCGTCCCGGGGGACCCGCGGGGGGCCCGGGGGTCGCAGCCTCCCCTTTTCCATCCCCGAGGCCGGGCTTGGTCCCGCAGAGCCCCGGGAGCAGCGGGAGCCGCCGCCGCCCTGCGCTCCCCGCAGCTCCCAGGAGATGGAGGCAGCGACCGCCGCTCCCCGACATTCCCACCCTGCGTTATCCCGTGGGAAAACCTCCCCGGCTGGAGGATGCACGGCCAGGAACTGGAGTTCTGTTGTGGTACTGCAGTTCGATCGCGTTTTGGTATTTTATTTGTTTACTTTTTCCTTGTCGAGAACACCTTGTTCTGCTTGTTCTCTTGTTTTCCTGCCTGTAGGATGTGATGGTGGGATCCTGTGGGATCCCTTCGTGTTCATATCCCAGAGAATTTGCTGGAATGGCTTCAGGTTTGCTGCTCAATAATCTGTTCTGGCTGAAGAGCAGAGAAGCAGCACTAGCACCGCTGTGAAATGCTCAGGACCAGCCTTGGGGCATCAGCCACAACCCAGAGTTCACAGCCCGGCAAGGATTTTCTAATAGTAGCAATACTGGGAAAAGCAGAGTAGGAACCGTAAAATCACAGCTATCCCGAGCTGGAAGGGACCCATAAGGGTCATCCATCCAACCCCTGGCCCTGTACAGACCCCCCCAAACAATCCCCCCCTGTCCCTGAGAGCTCCTGGAGCTCTGGCAGCCTCGGGGCCGTGCCCAGTGCCCCGGGGAGCCAGGAGGATGCCAGCCAGGAGGATGGAGTGTGGAGTGGGCAGGATGGCACACGGATCCACGTGGACACCTGGCATGGCAGTGCCTGGGCAGTGCCTGGGTGTGGCACTGCCCTCTTGCAACAATTCACCTGCTCCTCCTCAGTGCCAGAGTTTGTGCAGCCAAGCACGAAAGCTCCTGGTTTGGAAACGGCAGCAAGAGACGAATTTGGGAACTTCTGATCTAGAGCAAAACCCTCCAAATGCAGATTTCCCAGGTAAATAGAAACATTTTGGATCCAAATAGAGACCAGATATGTATTTTTAGTGATTTTGCAAAGCTATGGAACTGAAGCAAAGGTGACGTAAACACCTGTATGCTTCAAATACAACTTTGTACATCTTTGCTGTTTTGATTAGGAAACTTATTGCAATTTAATGTGCTCTGATACTCCAGGGTTCAGCATTCTATGATAGAAAAACTCTCCTTAAATTCTGATAATAAGACAAGAATTTAGGAATAAAAGTTATTTAAAAGCTTGCCTTGCTCAGTTAAAAAAGCACATTATGATCTAGTTAAGGTTGTCCCTGCCCATGGCAGGGGGTTGGACGAGATGAGCTTTAAAAAAACCCAAAATAAGGGATTTCCTTGTGCTGCTCAGGCTCCTGCCGGAGATAGGGGAGCAGAAAATGAACCTCATATTAATTAAGAGCTCCAGCCCAGGAATTATTGGGATTGCTCATTCCTTGTGCCCCGTGGAAAATGATGAAACTCAAAAACAGTGGAAAGAGTTGATTTAAATGCTCTGGCAATGGTTGTCAGGGAGGGAATAAGGGCAGATTTGAGGAAATTAGTAACTTAAAGATTCCAGCAAACTCCTGACAAAGGCAATGTAAACTTGGTCTCAAAGTAATTATTGCAAATAAACATTTGAAATGCTACAGGCCAAATTAATATTTCAGAATTCTTCACTATTTATTACTGTGCTTAATTTTCTTACTTAAATATATTTTGGGCCTCGGGCTGTTAAGAATTTAATTTTTGAGGTACTTTAATGAATTATAAAGCGTGTTTTAAACAGAAATGAATAGCTAATAAATGCCAAAAGTAATTAAATTTTCTGAAACACGGGGAGGCCTTTGTATTTAATTTAAAAAAAAATGCCCTAAATTGTTGGAGGGTAAAGAGAAAGAAAATACAAAGTGGATCATCTGAAGTTTTGATTAATTTACTAAATCAGAAATTGTTTTCCCTTTGCTGTTGCAGTGTTTTCTTCCATGTGGCCCCAACCCATTTTCTGTGTCCTTTAGTCAGGGTGGTGACACGTGGAGACCACCTTGCTCTGGACCCCAACTCTCTGCATGAACAGCACTTTACCTTCTTTAAAAATTGCTATATCTAAACTTTTCCTGGGATCAGACAACACCCAGGATTCTTGACTTTTACAAGCCCGTGGTTTCTGAAGGTTTTAACATTTTAACATGTATATTTATATATTGTAATAATACATTAAAATATATTACTATAATATATTTAATATTTTTAGCTTTTTTCTAAAGCGAGAACAAAATAGGATGAAGAGGTTTTCATAGGTTAGGGGAGCTTTTAATATAAATTTTGCATCTGGGGCTTGTGTGATGCTGCAAATTATACGAGCCTGAGCTCTGTGGGGATTTATGAGCAGAGCTTCCTGCATGTTGAGATGAGAAAACCCACCATTAATTTTTTGTGCCTCGAAACTGAGCTTGATTTAGGTGCTTTCATCCCAGGGGGAGAGACATTTTCTAAAATCCCCCCAGTGGTAATTGTTTGGAGTTCAGAGTGAACTAACTGAAGTTCCTCATGAATCAATTGTGGGTGGTGGATGATTTATGCCCCAGCACATGCCTTCAGATGTCCTTACAAATCCCCCAGGGCTCAGAACTGGGTGATTTGCTGCCAGTGACGCTTCGTGGACTGTTCAGCAGGAGTGTTTGCTTGCAGCTCCTGTTGGAGGAAGCTCCTGCTCATCAATAAAACCCCAATTCCCTCCGAATTTTCCTCTTTCTGGGCGTGTACGCCGATGCTCAGCAAGGTGAGCTGTGACCCGGGTGCCCCTGCTGTTGGACAAGGGGGTAAGATCAGGAGGAGCAATTTGGGGGATGCAGGGATAAAAGGCCATGTGCAAGTTAGTACTTGGAGGAGAATAAAAAGGAAATTTATCCTCTAAACCGTGA